TTATGTAAATTGGTGATGTAAAGGATTGAATTTTCGTCTCCTGGCACATATCAGAATTTGAAGCGTCATTAGTTATATCAGGTACAGGAGTACCATTATATCATAAGTCTGTCGTTTTAAAAGTATCATCAGAATTTTTAGTTCAGTAAAAACACTTACTATCTTATTCTTAGTTAATAAGAAAATTTGTAATTTTTCTAGATAATCATTAGTTATTTCTTTTGATTTGATTTTCTCGAAATCACGACTTAATTTTGCTACTTGGATTTTAAGTTCAGAATTTTTAGCTAAAAAATTGTTAATATCTTTTTTATTTTTCTTTAGTTCTGCCTTAAGATTAATATTTTTAGTTTCACATTTGGCATTTTTTTCATAATCTGTTTTAGCTAGCTTTAAATGTATTTTTTTCTTTTACTATTGGTTCTAATTCTGTGATTCTAGTTATAAGCCTAGCATTTTTCAGTTTTAATAAATCAACTTCGGATAAGTTTTAGATGAAACATAGTCTCGAAGCTTTGTCTTTTCGTCTCTTTGAGTTTGCATGTTTAATATTAATTATATAATTTAGAAATGGTTGAAAAGAGAATTTTATTGTACGCGTCTTGGAAAATGTTTTTAACTAGTTAATGCATTTATTTTCAAATAAAAAATCTCGATCGTATGCGAGTTAATATACATCGATGACTATACAATAAAATAAATTCATGAAATACACATTCAAAAGTAAACATGATTATGTATGCATTGAAATCAGCCACCAGCCAATTCGGTTGCTTCTAACGAGGCAGAAAATCTTCTCGATCGTATGCGAGTTAATATACATCGATAACAATACAACCATAAATTCATGAAATACACATGCAAAAGTAAACATGATTATGTATGCATTGAAATCAGCCACCAGCCAATTCGGTTGCTTCTAACGAGGCAGAAAATCTTCTCGATCGTATGCGAGTTAATATACATCGATAACAATACAACCATAAATTCATGAAATACACATGCAAAAGTAAACATGATTATGTATGTATTGAAATCAGCCACCAGCCAATTCGGCTGCTTCTAACGTGGCAGGAAAGAAAGATTCCATAGAAGAGCAACCGCAATGCCAACAGTATCCCCCTTATTTTGTCTTCGCGTGACGGTTTCATGTGCGAAGATAAGAATATTGTCTAAAAAATTTGAAAAAATTCTCGATTTATTAAAATATAGTATTTATAATAATATAAAAATAATAAATT